TTAACGACAAGATTTGCTTGACTTAGCACTAAAGCATTAGCTTCTTATCTTTTTTGATTTGCATTTTATTCAAACAAAACCCACTATTTGACTGAGATGACCTAATATTACAAGGCAGTGAAGTACGACGGTCAGTTGTTCAACAAGATTTTATTGAGTAAATAAAGAATTGTTGATGCATCTCAAAAAAAAAGTCAGTTCCTCATTGATGCCTGTGAAGACGTCGTTGATGCGGCTAGGTTAGGAATGTAAACTTGAAGACTCGATCCGGTATGGTCAAAGGAGCTTCCTCGATAGTACTTTGGCAGAATCTGCGACCACAGAAATGATGCTACACCTTCGTGACTCAAAACGGCGCATTGATTGCGCTCTAGGCCTCCTATTTGAGGCTGGCACCGCATGGCGCAGACTAGACCGCCCACCGCAAAACACGGGCTTCAATGGGGTTCAAAACAGGGTCAAGCGTGCAATTAGGAACTCTGGACAGGCCGGCATGAGGGGGTCGTGTTAGCCCGCTGTGTGAAAGGGATCGGGTCGGATCGATGCAGTAGGATCATCACTGTAGGTGGACAAACATCAAGAACCAAATCGATGTCATGGAAGATCAGAGGACTTCCAATAACAGTATTATTCCGCCCACACAAAATGTTCGTGATTCAGAGATGCCCGCGCAGTAATTCTTAGCTACATCAGTGTTTCATCGCGACACAAATTAAGGTACGAAACTCGCACGCTTCTCAAGGGATATTTTACCTTTCAACAAGCCCAGCCACGAATCTTAAGGGACGCGAAGCACTGGCGCGTCCCATAATGGATTGATTGCGCGCGCTCCAACTATAGCTCTCTAGAGAAAGAGCCTTAATTCAGGAAAAATCAAGAGAATGCTGAAAGGGTCCATGTGAAATAATATCAAGGAGTCCACTATTCAACAACGCCCTTCAGCGTCAAATTCATAGACACATGAGTGTTAAAGTGGAGAATCGCCAAACAATTCAACTTTTTGGAAGGACAAGCTCGTGGATCTCGAGTCTGCTCCTACTTTATACAAAATCACACCTGAAAGTAGCTATAGTCGTTGAAATAGCGCCAATGCAGCAAAACTTTCCGGCATTACTCGGACAAAACTCCTTAACGTGGCCATTTTTTAAATAGTGGACGTATTAAGTAGTTCTAGTAACCGATGAATAGAGCTAATCTTCTAGTTCATGAAGAGTATTAACCTACACAACATACTAAGCTGTTTCAACAATCATTTGATATAGCAATCTTCTAGTTTTGTATGCCATATTAGCTTTTGAAATGTGACAGGTTGACAGCAAGTTGGCATCGGAAAGTTTAAAAATGCGCACTCATCACGAATTTTCCTCGTTAACACATTGCGTACTGCGTGCGCCACATGGTGGCACACGACTTTCTTGCCCTGTGTGGCCGCGTGCGCCACCATGTTATTTGTCCACAGCAGTTGTATTTCTTATTTCATGATTATGCAGATTGTTTACTCACTAGGAGAACAACATATCGTGGGACGTCTCCAGATAATTAGTTAATATTAGTTAATGATATTTTCAAAAGAGGCTAGTTTGCTAATTGAATTTGCATGAATAAAACACATTCTTTCAAGCAAGTTTAGCAATCACCGTAATCTAATCGTAATAAAACTGCGACGCAAGAATGTGTTTCACCCAACATCTTCAAGTAAAGAAGTGGTAGTGGTATACAGCTAAACATCAGCCTTGAATTTTTCGTGGCGTTTTTTCCAGCTTGCACGTTTTTCGGCAGTGAATTTCGAAGCTTCGTGGCACTAAGCATTGGAACTAAACTTTGTTTGGCACCATGCTAAAGTTGGCTCTATCCTGGTATTGAACTCGATAATAAATGTGCGGCAAGTATGGGTGTAATGTATTCACAACCTCAGGAGATCCTCCGAGGTATGGAATGTAAATATTCTACAACTTCATTTAATCGTCACTGCTGTTCAATAAACATGACACAGCAGATTGTAATGGTAGTGGAATTGCGTAGCTCGCCGTCGCTGTCTTATGAGGGAGAAGAAAAAGTCGGACAAGTTGGACAAACCATATTTTTGGTTCCTTCACAATCGTTGTGTAATCATTTGTTAATTCTTAAAACGTACATTACAAGCCAACTAAGCAAAGATATGACGCAGTTTCCATAAATTGTGGTACAACCCAGTACTAAGGACAAGAAAGTGAAAAGACCCTTTGGAGAGAATTTCGGAAGATGTCTGCCCCGTGTGGCCGCATGCGCCATCAGGGGGGAGAGAAAAGCTCACCGCGGCGCGGACGCGAGCGCGTGCAGGTGACGTCACAGCTGCAACAAAACGGCAAGAGGGCGAGGTAGGAGTGTTGCTGTCACTTCGTTTGGCTGATAGGAGGGATACTAGCATTCACTAATTGATGCAGTCAGTAGTACCGTGAGCAAAGAGGTTGTATTGTGTGTAGGTACAATTTCGCCATCGAAAATTAGGAATATTTTTGCAAATTTGAGGAAATTAAAGGTACCGCATCTAAAACCCAACGAGTGCGCAATTAAGTCGAAGTTGATTACTTTAAGTTCATTCTTCGTTATAACTTCTACTCACTGCACAGTGAAGTCAGAATCGATAGTGTTTAATACTGTTATAAAGTAATGGCGCCTGTCTTGCCCAATCCCTTCCCGCTGCTGTGACATCAAATTGACGTCACTTGCACGCGCTCGCATCCGCGCTGCCGGTGAGCTATTCCATGGAGCCGCGCCATCATGTGGAGCACGGTGCGCAAGCAGGCGTGGCCGCGGCCATGAGAGCTCGCCACCGCGAAAACGACTCGGTACGCAATGTGTTAATCAATCAAAATTTGTTGTTTCTAATGTTGTGATTTTAGAACTCATGAGAAAGTGTTCTTCATAAAGCTCTCAAATTTCCTTTCAGATTGAGAATTTGTCCTTTTTGAAGAAAGTTACAATCATCTGAATATTTGTTCAAATTTCAGTAGTATTAGGTTGGTCCATAAGTCTTGCAACAATTTACATTTGATGCTAGAGAATTTTCTTGAGAACTCCGAAACATCCGCAACATGTTTGTTCACGTAGCAACCAACTTTGCAATTTGCAATTGAACGTAGTTGCAAATCAAGGAAGCGCAGTGGCAGTGCCCCGAGCTCGCGAGCAAAAAGTCGTGGAAACGGCTCCTCGGAGAGTCTGTTTCTTTTGTGCTTCGTGAAGATGTAGCCAGAAAGCTTCTAACTTCTTAATTCATCAACTTTGCCGTTAGTTCCTTGTACGAAAAAATTTCGAGCAGTTCCTTGTAGGTTTGTGCAGTAGTCGTCCATGTATGAGCATGGTGCCCGTAATGCAAGTGTCAGGCTTTTTCGCGGCGAACAGGCGTGATATTCGTGTTCAGGAGATCAAACTACCCTTGGAGATAAATTTCCTGCCGAATCTGAGATTTTGACCCAACCCTAAAAAATGAGGTGACCATCATATCATCAACCTATCGTTGAACTCTTGACATGGAAATTGAACTTCCAACCAAGATTTCGAAAGGAGAAACGTTCGCTCACATTCCCGCATAACGGAACTGATTTACATGACTCTGCATCAAAATTCAGGAAAGGTGCTTTTCCACTTAGTCTTCGATTCATACCTTCTCTCGTTTGACTATATTTTGGCTGCCCCTTCTCGAGTGTAGGTCAAAATCTCAGATTCAGCTGAGACTTGTAACCAGGGAAAAATCGGTCTCCTGAACACGAATATCATACTCGTTTTCCGTAAAAACACCTTGTCAGTGGGCTATGAGCTCGTTTTCAGTCATGGCAAATATTAATTAAAAATAGCTTTCAACCTGCGCAGGAATCTCCCTAACTCCTTACACAGGCAGGTAAAGGCAGCAATTGAGGAGATACTGTCGCTAAAAACTTTTCTGGTCATGTTTTCAAAAGGGAAAACAACAAACACCACGATAGACCGATCCCATGACCTCTCGCCTACAAGCCTGGAGCGTTGCCACTTACGCCACGTCAACCACGACGTGCTCCTTCCCGCTTGGCTTATAGTGGCGACTCCAATGATAGCGCTTATATACTGCGTTTAAGTACAGTGTTGAGGGGAACACTTCCGTAACTCCGTTCAGAGCACCGTAGCAGATAAGAAAAGCGGTTTCTAGCTTACTGTCTCAAGACGAATGCATAGATATACACTTCATTGCAAATGGCCGGACCGGCCTGGTGACCTTTCCTCGTAAGGATGACCTCATACGTGGAGGCAGTGTAGAGTAAAGAGATAATTATCAAGAAGCGAGAAGAAAAGGTGCTCCTGCCAACATTATGATAAAATTATGGTGAGGAAGCTGTTCGTGATGCTATAAAAATTCCAGTTGTCTCCGTTAGAGATGCCAAATAGAGGGTTACCATGTGATTTTGAAACGCGCTGGTACAACTCTTCGCCTGTGTACAAAAAGGCAGTTTCTCAAGGGAAATCCTATGAACTTCTGATTGAAGAAAAAGTGGCTGCCGATTCTGAGAACATGTTGGTTGACTCAAAATCTGTTTCGAAGAAAGAGCAAGATAGAGACGCAACTGATCGTTGATCGCAATATTTAAGGCTATGAAGCGAAGGTAAAAAAAAGCTACTTTGCCGAGTTCTCTAAATTCTCTCGAATATTTCCCGAAATGTGTTGTAGAGCATTATCGGAGGAAGTAATTCTTGTGCTTTCCTCGATTTTTGAAAGTGTTGCGGTCAACCTGTTTGCAGCTGATCTCCTCATTTCCTGCGGCCTTTGCCTGTTTCCACCAAAAAACCCCAAACATACCTGATTTGCTAAGTTGTACTTTCGCGGTTAAGACTCCGAAATCGTTGACGATAGACCGCAGCCGTTGGTGTAAAGAAAAAAGAGAGGAGAGAAGAAAAGGTTCGTTTCTGTTAACAAACTGGGCGCCCTCGGCATAACCATAATGGACAGACAGCTGTGAGAATGGCGGAAAAACAAAAGAAGCACAGCGATGTCAGATCGCGAGAAAATGATCCTCTGAAGGAGGCTCCTTGGCTCCTTGCGATGAAGCGCGTTGAGCGAACGAGCTGTCTAACTTTTCAGCCTGGTCTTTTTGAGTGGTAAGTGAGTGGCCAGGCACGTTACGAGCCTTCGAGGTTTTCTTCGATTCTTCATGGAAAATGTTAAGTGCTTGCCAATTATAGCAAAATTAGGATCAAACCTGATATACCTGTCCATCCACTGCATTTCGCAGTAAGCTGAGGTCGAAGGCTGTGCCGATTACCGGCGAAGAAGGGATTGTGCTGCTAAAATATTAACGGTTATTCATTTTCTTATATTGGGTCGACCCATAATTTCTGGCCGATTTTGGTTCAAATTCAATTTTCTTCATGTTAAATTAGCTCCATGATGGAATAATCTAATATGTTGAAGAACACATCAGGATCTTCAGCCAGGATAATTCAGAAGCTAAAGTGCCAAAGGGTTAAGTAGGAATCAAAACAGATCAACAACTAGATCCAACGATTTTGCCTTGCGGCAATTTTAAGAAGAATCTTGCAAGGAGCGTGGTAGGCAAAATCAGCGCTACGTTTGCACGAGTCTTGGCTACTGATCGGGCAGCGAGCTGTTGGCTCAATGGCACACGCAATGGCGATAGGAGCTGCGAAGTTCGACCTCATCATGGACCCCCAATCACTTTCGATGAGAACCGCTTGCGCTACGAACAAGAAGCGTATCCGGACGCTATTAGCAGAAAACTGTAGCAAACATCTGGAAGCAGCCTACGCTCCATGATTCGACACCTGAATGGAATGGGCTGCAGTAGAATGAAGTCTTGATGGAAACAGCATGCATAGACTGACCATGACCATAACCGAGAAGCACGCCTGACCATCTGCAGAAGTTTCATTCTGCAACCGTATATACAAGACATTCCCTGCTTGGTCATCAGTGTAGATGAGTTGAGTCGCCTGCGATAACAACACACGGCTCGCCCGGTGGCTACCTCGCAACCTGGACGCAGCACATCAACCACCGAGCTGTTTCGTCAGAGGGTGTGACCCCCGTTCTGTTGGATTCGCTGGGTATTCCGTTTTGAGAACCATTTCACTTTATGCAGACAAGCATTGCGAAGGTAACCATAGAGTAGCTTCCAAAGTTGGCCGCAGCAGTGCGGTTGGAGAAGTCTCAAAATCTCCTTTATCCGGATTACCGCCCAAAATCACATTGCAAAGATAACTAGCCATGTTTCGAGGGAAACTGGCTGGACCACGACAACACATCCTTCGTACAGCCCTTACGCTGCTCCTTCGTACTATCACCTCGTCAACTCCCTGATGCAGCAGGTAGGAGAGGAAAAAGTCAGTAAATACAACCGCCCCAAAAACGACTTTTTCGAGCTTTTCATCTCAGAGCTTCTCTCGTTCTGGGATTAATGCATCCATACGTTCCCTAGCAAATGGGTGCATATCAGTGATCAGGTGGTTCTGTTTTTGATCATTTGTTCTTTAAGAATGATAAAACATGAATAAATCAAAGTGTTCAAATTCAGCCAGAAATTATGGGTCAACCCAATATATACGCCACCAATGTCTCTTTTGAGTTGTGCCAAAACCATAATAAACAAACTTCGGCGCTAGGAACGACTGCACTCCCGCGACGGTCGGACTTATCAGCGGCGATTCCAAATTAATATCCAAGTTTTCGCCTCGCAATGAAGTTGCTCGAGGTAAGATCTGAATTTTGTTCGATAAGCATTCTCTCAAATCTCTTGGTTTTATTGATGAGCTTTCGACAATAATGCCACCATCAAATGACACTCAGAGATAGCAGCTTTTCACCACATATGGCTCATTTTAATTGCCATATGTATATTACTGTAATACATAGATAATGTCATACAACAGTCGTGGGACTCAGGCTGCCGTTGTAGCCATCTTCTGAACAAGTCATTGCCATATCATCTGCTGCTTTCAAGTCGAATTCGAACGACTGAAAAAAATCCTCAGTGACTCATTTGTAAAACATAATGAGCGGATCTTGGCAGTGCTCGGGGTCAACATTCGACTGAAAACCACAGATTAACGCTGGTGCATGCCGTGGTAACAAACCGAAAACTGTTCATATCAGCACATTGGGGCAGGTTCAGTAGTGATGGAAAAAATGCAGAAAAAATGCATTTTACTGAGAAAAAAACAGACCCTCTGTGATTGTGGAGCATTTGTGTAAGCCTCAGCCGATCGCGCTTTCCGGTCCCTTGCGCACCATTTCCAATTAGGATGAGCTTTGAAATGCGCCTCCTTCACCTAAGCAAGGAATAGTGAAGAAATTAGTGAAGAAGCAAGCAGGTAACAAGATGAGAGTTAAAAATAGAAGTACCTGGGTAGCAAGCTTGTGGTACTGTTGCTTCTCGTCTGCATCTAAAGCGTACCACCATTCACCGAGAATTTTCGAGACAGTCCGGTTGTCGCGATTCGGATACTTACTATGCGCCATTGGACGATGCCGTTTTGAAAATATCATAAAGGCGTTAATGGGCCGGCGAATAAGCTCATGCTTCTGCAACAGATTTTTTTTCGTCGAACGTTTCAACCCCTAGGCACTAAATCGCCATTTTCGGTACAGAATTGATGAAGAATTTAAGTGTAAATCCCTACAAAAGGAGAGGGGACAGGATGGCCTTGACATCACGAGTGGTTTTACAGATCAGTGTTTACGCTCAAATCGAGGGATCACGATAAGGATGGGTTGGGATCTAGTGGCAGTGGGAATGCTGAATAATGCTCTTGTGGCGAAAAAAGTGAAGGAATCCGTCAAGTACATGCAAAATAGGGCATACCGTTCCGTTCACTATCGATAATGGAAAAAAGCCAGCAACCAATCAGAAGGTCGGCACATGTTGATACGATAGGCCGATGTCACAGTTTGCGAATCTCGTTGCGCCAGCGAATTGAAAGTTACACCAGCAAATCGAGCTTTGCGCCAGCGAGTCGACCGATGTACCATCGAGTCGAACTAGGTACTAGAGACTCATCAGTGGCGGGACCCAACGTTAAAGGAAGCCCGCCACGTTCAAACAGAGCCCACTGTCAAGTGACACTGTTTGAAAGTGGTGGGCTTCCTTCAAACGTTGGGTCCCGCCACCACTGAGTCGCTGGTACCTACAAGTTCGACTCGCTGGTACATAGTTCGATTCGCTGGCGCAACGCTCGGATCCAGCGATTCGCTAGCGAATCTTTCGATTCGCAAACTATGACATCGGCCATAGCCACCATCATGCCAGCAGAAACCATACTATCACTGACAACGCATCCAATAGGAAAGCTATAGTATACGCGCTCGAAGTAGAATACCTCATCTAAATGATAAGAACAATGACGCTGCTAGCAAAACGGTCATGGGCGCAGCTTAGAAAAGATTGGCAGCCCCAGGGAGCTGAGTCAGCGCGCCTTCGGCCACAAAATAGCTACACTTTTCCTTCCGCTCCTGACTACTGGTTCCACTGGCGCATGTAGTCCCATGCTGTGCACAATTTTGCCGTAATCCCTCGCTTTAAAAGAGTGCGTTCTGTCATAGCGCCCTTAGTGGAAAGGTCTTCTTCATTTCGAGTTGATTGTCACAATGAAGTTAGAAGCGGAGAAATCTGGATGGTATTGTAGCGAAAAACTTGACTTTCGTTGACTAGAAACAGGGCTAGAACTCGTCGATATGCGCTAAGATAAAACAAAGTCTCAGAAATTATGAATGCTTTGAAAACGAGGGCTTCTCGTTATGAGGATCCACGAATGAACTGTGTGATCACGGCAACGTAAGATAATACATTTGAAGAATTGATTTGAGTAGCATTTGCCTGGCAAAAACACATACTCTTTCAGCCTTCAACTTCTTGTTATTCGTCTCCTTTACATATCAATACACGACAGGCCATCGCTGTGTTCTCCACCGTCACATTCTAAAACAGGTTGGGATTTATTGGGCTAACACGTAAACCGCTCACATCTGCTCATCTGTTTCGTGCTACCTTATAAACTTAATTCTTTATTGAGCTCATGCTCAAAAAGCATTTTAGGGACTCATAACGATCCGATCTTGCTGAGCTGTCAAAATAGGTATATTTGTGAACACATCATTTTTATCAGAATCGAACAATGGAAATATTAGGTGCACATTTGCACTCGGCACTAGCTTAACGATGACGGCTTCTGAAACGTCTTCGCATCTTATACGATCTGATCACATCGACGCGCGTCGTCTTCCAGCGATAGCGAATTTCATAGCTTTCAGCGGAAGGTAAGAAATTTCGTCTACGAAAACACCAGCATCTCTTCGAATTTGTGGATTATTAATAGTTGAAGCAGAGGGCAAAACTATTCAAAAGGTGAGCCTTGCTGTGTTGATATTACCAGCGAATCCTTCTGTGGTGAAGGGGTAGTCAATTTGTAGAGAATACAGAGTAGCACCAAAACTTCGCGTTTAATTATTTCTTCGCTTGATTTCATTCACGCTTTTTTCTATAACGAATTTGCGACACTTTTGTAGCAAGCGTCGCTCCCGCCCAGTTGAATGCACACTCATGGAATCATGGGCGAAGCTTCGCTTATGAAGCCAGCTATGCGCACATCTCTACTATATACCGCCTTTTTCTGGCTTTAGTGCCTTGAGAAGCTGCTTTCATGAGGCGTGCACTCTCGCGTGTAGTCTTCTCTGGTCATCTGTCTCTCCCTCCTACCACATGCAACTTTAGTGGAAGTTCGAGCGCTTAATTTGGCCGAGGCCTGCGCCAAAGGCCACGCCAGATTGCTTGGTACATATCTTCCGATACGAATTGCGTGTTGATCTGTCCCTTAAGGGGTCCGCCTCTCTCTCCACTAGGTACGTTTCCCATTCATCGACCTTCGTTCTTATCGTGGAATCCTCCTTTAGGTTGAAAACAGAAAAAAGGTGATTCTGTTTGAGAACTGTAGGTGCACCCATGGAAGACTTGCTTATGTGTAAGGTGTGAGCGGTGAGCAACTATTTAAATTTCTGCATAACGCTAGACGTAGCCTACGATCGGTGATGGATTTTGTTGCCATCAATCTAAACTCTTACGAAAAATTTGTGCAGAATTTGGAAGCTCGAAATCAAGCTGCTGCTGTTGGAGCTACTAGTGAATTCGAATAGATATGCGTTGAGAAAGGTGTTTGTGAGCGATGAAGTGCTATTTGAATTAACATAAGATTCTAAAATTCGTCACTAGAAAGCTACGCAGAGGTAACAAAGTGCAGTTGATCTCAGCTCTTGTAGAAGGCTTGATAAATTGTTTGTCAAAGTTTGATATGAGCCTGCAGTTCAGGCAATGCCAGTCAATTGCCATTCTTGTAGGATGACCCTGTGGCCTCCTTAACACGGGTGTGTACCAGCCGTTTCCGCGCTATTAACTGGATTGGGGCAGTCTTCATGACCGCTTTGACATCCTCGTTTCTGACCCTGTCCAGTGCGTCCAGCCGCATGCACACCTCAGTATCTTATTTCAGCGGAGTGAATCTGCCTTTCATGATTTCGTTTTTTTCAGGAGACTCGTGCCTTGAAGCATCACAAGCCTCACCACTGTCCACTACAAATTCCCTTTTGACGTTCTAGCACTTTTGATCGCAGAGAATTCCAGTGAACTCCCTCCATTTCATCCATACACCGCTAAACCGAGCCTTCACCACCTTATCACACTACCGTCAACAGCCACATCGCTCCCATGGTATCGGAAATACTCCACTCTCTCGATGATTCACCATGGCCGTTATGATCGGCTCTGTACCCTGTAACTCTTGTCTTCTTGACATTCGGCTGGAGCCCAGAGTCAACCCTGCGTTGCGCAGTTCGCAACGGCACGTTGAGAGATCCTCAACGCACGCTGTATGGGCGGAGACGCAAACGGCTCGAGCATGCGAGTGTGAATGTTAGCGCGAGAGAGCGTGTCTAATCGGGCGAAACTGCGCAACGTGACCGTTGAAAACTGCGCAACGCAGGGTTGACTCTGCTGATGCCCCCTGCTTCCAGGGATTTCTGCTATTTCAGCGCAGACGATGGTCTTCAGTGGCCCCTCCATGAGCCCCTTCACCATGACATCTACTGTTAGAACAAACAAGAAGGGGCTCAGAGTTGATTCATGGTGCAACCAAACCGCGATATTTGCCTCCTTTGTTAGGTTGTGTGGGGTGCATATGGCTGCCTTAGCCCCATTGTACATGTCTTTACCATAGAGATTACTGTTCTGGAACGTTCCTCGACGTGCCGTTGAGGAATCCTCAAGCAATATTCACCCTGGGTCGAAGTCCTTCTCCCTCCAGATGGAGGAAGGCTAGATAGCAGGTCTGGCAACTTTCTAAATACTTCTTCGCTGTGGATCTTTTTAGGCATGAACTCGAACTGATTCTGAGAGATCAGCGCCAGCTTTAGCAGCTTCTAATCGATCAGCGCTCGTACAGCTTCATGGTGATCCCGCGATAATTGGAGCAGCTTGCCGCGTAAACCTTTTCTTTGAAGATGGAACGGTAGTTTTTATTGTCTAGGCATGCGACATCCTTCATCACGCAGATACCGTGCTCCGGAAGTTGTTGAGCCACCTTAAGCCGACTCTCCCACTTCCATGCCTTGATTGGCGCCCCATATGGATTGAGCGCGCTCCCACCCTTCATCATTTCTACTTCTCGACGAACCTCATCTTCTGACCACAGTGAGATAAGCCTGCCGTTGCCAGTTTGTGAGGTGTCCCTGAGGGGGAACTCCTCAATCAGAAGTCCACTGTAGTATTCTTCCCACCTCAGTTGGACTTCGGCTCGCTTTCTCAGGATGGTGCCGTAGGTACTATACTCTTCACGATCCTGATATCTGGAGTAGCTTGGTGCCGAGCTTCAGTCAGTCCCAAGAGGAACTTCGCGTGTTTCTGCTTTCGAACTCCTCGCCGAAGGCGTTTATTTTCACCCGTCCGGCCCGCGATTTCTCAACGAGACCTGGAAGTCCAATTTCCATATCCTTCTAAGGTCGCCCTTCTCTGAATTGTGCAACCTCCACCACCTGTTTATCCGATCGGTTTTTACCCTTGTATCAGGGGAGGAGGGGAGAGGAGATTCTATGGCACTGTCTGCCAGGAGGGGCCTGTGCTGCAAAGCCAATTCTTAGCCTGGAGCTACCTTGATGTTTTTCACAGTTCTGAGTTATAAACTTCTCACGGCCACATGGCCGATTTCCGTTTTTTTTACCTCCACTGACGCAGGTCACCTTCTGGGTCTTCCTTTTTACAAAGAAGTTTTAGATCCTGTCCGTCTACCTCCGTGCACCCATTCCAGGCCTATTTTGTCATTGCCGACATGGCCATTCAGATCACCTGTGTGGAGTAAACCCCTTCTGGAATCGATCTAATGGCATCGTCAAAGAGCAGAGGTAGTCCTTACCCCTTCCTAATCGACCCGATTGCGGACACAGACACTACCGTCCATTATTCGTCGTGTCTACCACAC